GAACGCAACCACCATCACCGGAAAAGACGAGCGCAATCACCACCACCGGAAAAGATGACCGTTTCAACCACCACAAGTCAACACCACCACCATCTACTAGAAAAACCTTCGATCCAAAAAGCATTGTTTTCTGGCGGCAAAGACAAACAAACCTTCGATTTTACGGCATAGACAGACAAACCTCCGATTTTCCGATGAAGACAAAAAAAAACCCTCAAAAACCTCCTTAAACATTGTCGATCTGAAAACGACCCCCCCTCTTTAGATCTAGCTCGTGGTCGTTGTCGGTTTTCAGACAAACAAACTCTTCCCTATGTCGAAACCATGAACGTTGTCGGTCTCTGGATCTGTTTGACGAAACGCCGCCTCTTCGCACACGCCAGAGCCGGATATGTCACCCTTTACCCAAACGATTTAAGATTTTCACTCCATAAACCCTCAGATCTGAAAAAATTCTCGTCGGAGCTCAGGTAATGGACAGATACGAAACCCTTCATTGGTGCTGAAAACCCACCGTCGGAGCCCTTCTTTGGCACTGAAAACCAACTGTCGCAGCCGCCAGTTATAGCAAACCCTAGCGCCGGCGCCTTTCATAACAAACCGTAAATTCGTTCTCCATCTCTCTCATATGTGCGAGGTGCTTTAGGGTTTGCAAACCCTGATTCCGTCTGTGTCTCTTCGTTTCACTCCTCCTCCGACGGCTGTGGCGGCTTCCGGTGGCGGTGGTTGCTATACTGCTGACGGATGATATCAATGTTAAGTGATGCACAGATAAAAGGGATGAGGGGTTATTACATTTTGTTTCTTATTTATTTTAATAAAAAAAATAATAAAATTAATAAAAGAGAACAAAAAAAGAAAGGGCAAAATCATCACTTTAAATATTTATCAAAAAAATTGGACCAAAACCGCAACAAAATGAAAGTTTTGGACCTCTGGTGCTAGTCCAAACATTTTTGGACCAAAGTGGCAATATTCGACATACCACAGGGACCATTTGTGCAGTTTAGTCTTATTAGAATATCAAAATATGCTCTACCAAAAGCAAACTATATTTGGTTTGACAAGCCTACAAATACGTCATTATTTTATTTTAGCATGATATTATCTTCTAGCAAGTCTCCACCTTCCAACATGTTTATGTCTGTCATATGTAATCTTATCTTTACTCTTGTTAGTTCCCCCATAATAGCTCTTTATAACGTCTTATTTTTTAGAATAATTTTTTTATTTTTAAACTAGCATAAACACTCATTTTTATATAGGTACATTCAAAGTAAAACCATTTGTACATATATTGAAAACCATAAATCACAGTCATAACGAAAATATCGTGGAATCTCAAATCATAAAATTGTTGATGTGTGTACAGTTATGCTTTCGCCTTCCCACGATCATCTGAAGTACCTGTAAAATGTTTAATCCATAACTGTAAGTCAAAGCTTAGTGAGTTCTCCAAAATAAGTCACACAACAATATAGATACAATACATGCACTTCATGGCCTTCAACATAAGGTTGGTCCGCCTCCTAAGCCTACAACACGCACTTTATATTAACCACTTAATGCTTAAGACCAAAACGTCCAAACTCAGATCTAACCTCCAAATAAGGTCTTAATCCATAAAGTTACCAACTTTACTCCTTTGCATATCTTAATGGGACCCAAAATCCGTTTTTTATCCATCTAAACCTATAATATGAACACAAACTTAAGCATGATTCATCAAAACCTATCAATATGACATTTTTATGCACCAACAACCTCAGAAATGCTAAGATCTAACATTCTAAGCTCCTGGGGTGGCTCATACTCACAATAATGACTCAGGGGACCATAATAAACCCAAAACAAGCCCTAGACTAGATCTAACACATAGAGTCATCGAGTTAGAAGCTTTATACCTCCTGGAACTTGATGAAGATGATTGGAGCTTGGATCCACAAGCTTCAAGCCCAACAATGCTTCTTACAATATCTCCTTCTTCTCCAAGACACACCAAAATCACACCAAGACTTGAAATTCACACAAGAGAGGCTAGGGTTTCAAATTTAGGGTTAAATGAGATGGAGGTTGAAGATAAGAGGGTTTGAAAATGAGCTAAGGCCTTTAAATAAGGTCCAAGACCCTAAATTAGGATTTGAACCTGACTTGAGTACGCCCAGTGTACTCCATGATGCATTCGTGATCACTTAGTCCAGTACGCCCCGCGTACACCTTTATACACCCAACGTACTAGACTAACCTATAATCCTCCTAACTTTCGAAGGCCATAACTTCTTCGTTCTAACTCTGATTTCGATGATCCTTATATCCACGGGAAGATAATGAGGAAATCTACAATCCTATCAACTCTCCTTTGCCTTAAAACCTTCCGAAGTTAAATCCAAAATTCATGAAATGCCTGCACGTTCTTTACTATTATACGCTTGGGCTCCAAAGCACAAACAAAACTCTCGGTACCCACATCCTACATTATCCACAACCAAAAGGGTCTAAGCCTCTCATTCTTCAAGGCCCGAAGCCTTATGATAATTGATATTCGGGTCACGGCCCCGAATTATGAAACGATTAGAAATAGGGTGTTACAAACACAATCCCCGCAAAGTACATATCAAACAAATCCGGACTATTTGGCCGCAACATAATGAATCCACCTTAAATTTCATGCATACAAGTTACAGAAAGATAAAATGTTTGAATTGATGATCACATACCTGCCATAGAATTAGGGAAAGAAGAGCTACGACTGGTTCTGGAGGTGGCGATGGTGTTTCTTTTGGTAAAACATAGAGTTCTAGTGGGCAATAATCTAGATCTAAAAGACCTCGATTGGGTGCATAGTTTTTCCCGATTCTTAAATGGGTGGTGTTTAAAGGAAGAAGGGGATAAATCCGACGATGATTGCTTACTGATGGTGTTGGTTGACTCTCTTGATCTTCTTATTTGATTCTGGGCGTGTAGGGTTAATAAAGATACATGAGGCGAGATTAAAACTGATTTCTTATTTTAGGGGATATAATTAATTTGACAATTTACCATTAATAATCAAAAGCTAAGATTACATAAATGCCTTTTTGTATGGTTTTTAAATGATTGACCCACAATTATTCTTACATCTATACAATAGGTAATTAGAACAAATGAACATCTCTCTCTCTCTCTCTCTCTCTCTCTCTATAT